ACAAATTCGGGAAGAGAATGCGATCAGCTTCAAGAACTTCTCCTTGGGCAGAAACAATACTGTAACCTGCCACTGTAAGCCAAAAATTCGATGTGAAGTATACTGAACCATCTGTCCACACTTCAGAGCGATCAGCGTCGGGAAGGAAAGGGGAGTCGTTCTCCTCCAAAATAGGCATGTAGGAAGTTCGGTGCTTGCCGACTGCAACAGGATGTTCAAACAGTCCGAGAAGACGAAAATTTGGTCCAAACTCGTGACATGGAGGTTCAATCAAAGGTTTGGGACCTGGGCAGTCAATGACCAGGTGAGCCAATGATTCTGTGGAACTGTTGCAATATCTGCAGGCATTAGACTCTGTGTAACCTGCAGCACAGCGTCGGTCGTTGGTGACCGTGCATCCAACGCTCTGCGACTCAAAATGACATGTGAGGTCGAGTTCCTTTGTGTAAGGTTTTGTATACATGGCATAAAAGGTCTTGAACAATGACAGGTCCAATAAACCTTGAGGTTTGGAGAGGTCTTTGCGAGACTGTTTGCCAGCTTGTTCATAACAATACTGGACAGCAAGGTTTTGAAGGAGGGGTTTGATGTCCCTCACCCCTACATGTAAAATGGGAATGTGATTTCCCGCAAAGACAAGGTCGAGCATCGGAGTAAAACCCAGGTGGAAAAGATGAAGCGCGTCAGAAACCTGACCAAGAAGAGAATGTTTTGGCAGTTGCGGAAGTCTCAACAACTCAACACACTGCTGAATACGATGAGGATGGCTGTGAATGAAACGCCAAAAGTCAAGAATGCAACAATATGCACGAGCACAAATGGGCTCAACCCGATGGGAAGGTGCCAAAAGGCAAAACACTAACATTCGCGATCTCCAGTGAGGTCTGTGATCCCAAAAAACGCGAACAAGTTCACTTCGAATTTTGTCAATGGACTGTTTCGGAACCTTTGAAATGTGTGAAGCAAAGGTGATTTGTGGTAACACCTTTGATCCAATCAAGTGACTTTTGACCGGCCTAGGGATCGGCAAGTTCAATATTGCGGATGTCGGTGACAACTTTCTGTGTTTTATTGGCATCAAAGGCAAAAGCATCACGGTCGGAAGTGTAAATCTTGGCTCCTAGGACATCAAATTCAAGTGCTAAAGGCAAATGTGGAAAAACAGCTTTTGCTTGCTTGCGTGCTTTGGCAGAGGTTGCCCAAAGAACACTTTTGTTGTGGTTGAGGTGTTGTCCTACCAAATCTCCCCAGACCTGAGTGAGGCGAAGAGCAATCTGCAAATTATCGATGTGAGTGATACGAACCCAGAGGTATGCGTCATCAATGAAAACACGAGAAACAACCTCCGGAATGCGCTGAACGAAACATGCCCATACATGCATGTATGCATTGATGGCAACTAAGGACAAAGAGCACCCCTGTGCTACACCGTTTGCATTTGTAGTGTGCTGCTTTGCAATCCACCCCCTATAAGACAGGTGTTTGGTCAAGCCTCGATACATCATAAGGAAAACATTCACAATACCAGGAGGAATGCCGAGAGCCAACATAAAAGCACCCGCAACACTCGGAATGATGCGGTCGAAGCATTTCGATTGGTCCAATTTAATTCCGACCAAATGATCGGAGGAAGCACGTGCAGTGCCGATGTCTAAGCGCAATCCATTACTGACAGCGGTCATCGATCTGTTTCGAATACCTCCAAAAAGAGAGGAGTGCATGTGTTCAGATTGCCACGCATGGAGGTGTCTGAACCTAGTGCCCGAGTATGCCAAAAGCAGCGGTGAAAGAATCGTGATTAATCGCTTGTTGAGGGGTGAAGCAGGACCAACCTTATTAAGAATAGCCTGCTTTGCACAAACCAAAACACTTGGAATATCGGCACCATGCGCATCTTCTAAAGAGGCAAAAAAGGATGCAATAGCGTCCAGGCAGCACAAAGGAAGGTGCTGGACATCAGTCGTGCGCCAACCATCTAATCCAGCAGCGGCTTCCGGTTTACGAGAAGCTATAGTTTTGGCAAGCTCTGCCCCAGTCAAAGGCGGAGGTTGCCAAGGAGTGCAATCTTTCTGGATATAAGGCCAGGCAACACGGAGAATGCGCACAGGATCTTCATGCAAAGCGTTTGACGCGAAGATATCATCCCACTGGCTGTTAATCAACTGTAAAGCTTCATTGGGCTGGCAAACAATGTTCTGGTTTGCATCAAGAACAAGATTAGAAGGTTCATCTGCGACCTTGTTCTTTAAGTGATGGTAAATGTACTTCTTGTTGTGTGCAGCTGATACTTGAATTTTGGCTTTCCATGACCGAGTTCTGTCTTGGCGTTTACGAAAGTCCCACGATTGCAATTGGAATTCAACCCAGTTATGGTTGTGGTGGATGTCGACAAGTGTGGGAAACTGGGGGTCCTGCCACACAAAGGGAGACTTGAGTGCATGGAGTGTTCTCCATGTTCGGATGGCAGTCCTGGAAAGGATGTGTTGATCTGCGACACTTGAGACTGGACGCTGCAGGCGAGTGGCCAATTCAACGAGTCTTGCAAGTGTGTTTTGCAACCAAGACCCCTTAAGGGTGAGAGCAGAATTATTACGGGCTTGGCCCGGGCAAAACTGCTTGGGCGTGAACTCAGGAAGTTTGCCTCGTACACGAGGGCCACATCCCCATGAAGCACCGTTAGCAAGTAACGTGTCTACACAAAATTGATTGAGAACAAACCATTTGTCTACACAGAATTGAACAACCTCTTCATATGGGGGGGGTTATTAATTAAGCGTCTGCATTACGGTGCATTTCCTATCATGACCATGGTTTTTACCCTTTAAGACCCGGATGAAAAGAACCATCCGCATGCGCCGCAACAGCTGCCCAAAGGCCCTGGGGTTCCTCCTGCGGCAGCAAGAAGTTCGGCCGGTTGGATGGTCGCTTGCTGGGCCCGCTGCGGCGTGGCCCCGGGAACATCGGTCGCTGTGGAGCGATGTCTTCAGCGACCGTGACGTTCGGTTCGCGTCCGATCGCTCCGTTCGTAGCAAGGCCAGGAGCCCCGTTCGTAGCTTCCTTTTGCGTCGTGGCACCTTTGTTTGTCCTTGAAAGGTCTGAGGTTCTGCCCAAAGCTGAAAGGAAGAACCATCCCAAAGTATGCAAACACTCGCCCCAAAATGGATCATCACTGACAAATTGATACGGACACTGCTGCCATCAATCTATAAGTTACGAAGCAGTGCAATCATCAGGCATTTCTTTCACGCATGGACAACTCTCCAGTTCTTTTGGCCATCTATACAGACCCCCCAAATAGATCCCCATGTAGAACATGTATTGGAATCATGTGGAAACCGTGCCACTATCTACTTGGGGACCACGAAAAATATACCAACTGTCAAGCTATAGACTTATTTTCATATTTAAGACGACCTATTTGTCATGCATGGTTCATACGCTATAGACTGATTGTCTTATGACAAACTCGATTTTTCACGTGCATGCATCGGTCTGCATCAGTCATGCTGACAGAACCTGTGAGCCAACCGTCCCATTGGGACGCGTCCCATGCATCCCATGCGGTCGCAACCATGAGAAAAGGGCGGCCGCCCTGGGGAGGTTAGATGTGTAATGTATCTAAAGCCCCCCCCCCAAATAGGTACCATTTCCGTATTGGACACTGTTTCGATGTATTTGGGGACCACGATATTCTACTGTATGCTATAGTGCACTAATATGGTCATCACACAGGTCGTACCTGTTGTAGGTTGAAGCCAAAAGGCTTCCAAACATCTGTGTCCATTTCCATTTCACACAACACTTCTGTTAAAGCAATTCGACGTGCACGGAGCAAATGGAGCAGGGAAAGCCTGAAAACACACACCCCGGGCGGTTTGATGTCACAAAAAGGCAACTTGAACGAATCTCAGAGGCAGACCAAAGAAACCTGATGCGGCGATGCCCTTTGTTACTAGTATAGCGTCCTTGCTCCTAGTAGTAAGGCCAGGAGCCCCGTTCGTAGCGTCCTTGCTCCGTTCGTAGCAATGCCCTTTGTTACGTTCGTAGCGTCCTTTGTGGCTCAAAGGTCCTTCATCAGTCCAAAAACCTGAAACAGTTGCTACCATTGCTCGATGAGATTGGTTTCATGAAGCACCCGTCAGGCTTGTCATTTGTTGCAACCAGCTCACGTGTGGGTTCCGCATGATGGACTTTGTTTGATGCACTGCTTGATGCACATTAACACCTTGCACAGTGGCTTGGCTGTACCCATCAATGACAAGCGAAAAGTGCAGTTGCATGTGACTGCATTAGGCCTTGTTGTGTGAAAACCCTTTATCTTCAATCATATGCAAAAACAAATCTCTTCAGACACTACAAAGGGAAAACACATGCGTTGTAGACCCTGACGACGCGTTGTTTTGAGAAACTGCTCGGCGCTGTTTTCGGGTGAAACAGCTCAGCACGTCGAAACTGCTGGGAGCGAGTGTGCGGAGTGTGCGGAGATGGGCGAAATCCCATGACGTCTGGGATGGCACGGCACGAAGTGAACGAAGGTCCTTTCCTGTAAACACAGACACATACAGAAACAGTCATGTCTATTTTTTTCCAAAGCCAACTCATCAATCAAACACCTCACCTGTTTTGGAGTCCAGTCTTGGGTTGCCCATGGTCTTTTCAAGAAGTCCCACTACCGACGCAAGCATCGTTTGCGAACTTGGGTGGCTGTTGGGAGCATGCATAGACAAGTTCATTTCTCAAGGTCAAAAGATGAGCTACAACATGAAAGTACACAAAGGCTCCCGGAGGAACCTGCAAAGAAACTGCCAGGTAGGTAGAGTAGAAAACAGCAAGTATAAACCAACCAATTGACACTGGTGTGGACAGACATGATGGCCATTACGGTGCCATGATGGTTCCATCCACAGCTGCTGTGGAAAGACATGTGTCGAATCCATCTGTGCAATGCATCGTTTTTGTGTGAAAACCACATCACTCCCAGCGATTTGGTGAAACTGGGCTCAGGTATAATGAAGCGCATTCACCGTGATGGGGTACATCTTTGGAGCCTGGCGACGGAAACTCACTCGACCGAGCTCTAAGGCCCAGCTCCAAAGGTCGTGGAAGCCAAAACCCCAAGGTTTGGACCGAGGAAACCGGCTCGGGACCGAGGGTTTCCGGGATGCGACTGTTGGATCTGTTTTCATTTCGCAGTGGATTCACATCTCTGAGCCAATGTGAGCATTTGGTTGCCTTTCCGTGTGTTTTAATAATAGGAACAAGAAGCTACTAGGTGGAGGCCATCGCTATTAGGTTGGAGGCCATTACTACTATAGTAACCAGAAGCTACTAATTTTTGCGGTCTGAGCTTTTGGTCACTCTGTGAAAATCGAGATGTCTCCATTCAGATCACCATACGATGGTCATCAGAACACAGATCAAAACGGGTCGAATGTATTACACCTTGAAACACCCGAAGTCACCTGAAATTGCCAGGTACAAGTGGTATCTCTCTTGCGAACAGTGCCAGACTTTGGGTGAACACATGTCTTCTCATCAGCCCATGACTGATAAGACATGCATACAAGATTCATATTACATAATACATATATATATATATATACTGTATATTATACTGTATATGAACCGAAAGTACCAAACAGTTTTGTACTGTAACTCGTTTTAACATGTTTTAAATAGCTGAAAGATCGATGGAATTTCCCCCATCCCGCTGGGACTCATCTCCCATCTCCCTCTCGTCCTGGAAAGAGACCACTCGGGGCAGTTGTCGCTCCAGGCGCAAAAGCCCTTGGTCCAAGGCCTGACGAAGATGAGTGCGGGAGAGACCCGCCCGGTGGTGCAGCTGCTTTTCGTCATTGGTCTTCGGATCTTCAAATCCGCTTTGTCATGGTGCCACCAAGGTGCCACGCCGGCAAGACACCGGCAGCGGCAACAAACGGAGACCTATCAAGACCAAGGGCCGATCATGATGGTCGGGACCAGCACCTGACATAGTCATGCAGGTCTACTGAGTCGGACTGGAAATAGGACAAATCAAAACACATCTGTATCTCTGCTGTGAGAGGATTCCAGTACCTCTCCCCTGGACTTGAGGCACTCTGGGCTATGTATAGACTTGTATTATTTGTGTTGCGAAGCCCTTCATCACAATTCTTGGCGTCTACGGACTCCAGCATCACGCTTAGGGGTGCATGATCTTTGTACATCTACGTACTACAAACTGCGAAGAGTGTAGATCTCGGTGGTCGCCGTATCATTAAAAAAACAAGCCATTTTCTGTGCTCCTGTGCCGGGGTCGTCTGGAATCCAAGAGCAAAGTACCCCAGCCATGGTAGTAGCTAGTACTTTGTGACATCATGAGTTTGCGAACATCACATATACATATACACATAATAATATATAATATATATAATATATATAATTATATATACGATAAATGAGGAGGTCCAACTGTCCGACGAACTCTAAGTAGATCTGAGCAAACCTCTACCCCGGTACACTTGTTGCACTTGGGCTGTTACGCACTTTTTGGGGGTTCACCAAGGAAGTCGACCGAAGGACGTCGAGCCGCCGCCTTCGAGGTCTCAGCGAGGGCGGAGACCCCCAGGTCCTGCAGACCGCCCCAGCTCTCTCTCAGCTCTCAGCTCAGCTCTGAGAGCCGCAATTCGCGGGTGCAAGCAGGTGCTGGGATTTGGAGGGCTGAACTCGGACTTCCACATCCATAAGATCTCTTGGCAGCCTCTCGGCCTCTCACCTGTGAACCACCCAAACAAACCCTCCGCGGAACAGGTTCATGTGGAGCTGCGCATCCTTCTTGTGGCTTTTCCGAAGCATGTCACGTTGTTTGCACGGAACCCTCACGTCTTTGAGATGGACCCTGTACCCTGTAAGGAAGTCGGGTCAAAATGGTCAAAGCACTGCTTGGAGGCGAAGCGATTTGGGGATGTCTGTTTTTTTTTTTTTTTTTCGGAACGGCACGACCTCTGGGCTCTGGGGTCATTTGTAAGCAAGCGCTGAGTATGCGGGGACAGCCCCAACAACACCCCATGTGCTGAACCTGGTGCTGAGCCTGGTGTCCTGATGGTGGTTGGAGACCCTTCGCCCCTTCAGCAAGCGCAGCAAGCCACTCCTGCAGGCCCCTACGCAGCTGGTTCAAGATGATGGGAATGTAGCTGAGAGCAGACCCTCCATCCTCAGCGAAACCCCAGCAAACGTCGTGGCTCGGGTAAGGCCTGATTCGCAGCACCTGCTTCCTGCTTGCTGGTGCTTTGAGAACAACCACCCCACCCTCCCTATCCTCCCTCTCCCTCGGTCGCCTTGGGGTCGCACCCGTTTTCCCCAATCGTTTGGCGTTCGCAGACTCCTTTGGCAGTCATTACGAATGACGATATCAAGTCCCGCCGACCTCCGCGGGGTCAGCGTCGAAGGTGTCAGGTCTTGAGGACAGTTCTTTGACCCTGTGACGACACGGACTTGTCCACTATAGTAGTCTTGTTTTTTTTAAATCAGATCGGACATCTATACTTACAACTTCTCCCAAAAACAGAGGGAACCGCCAGAAAATTGATGCCTAGTGAACCCCCATCCATTTACCCCCGTAACGGAGCTGTTTTCCAACCAACGATGCTCCCAAAACAGGTGCACCAACGCTTGGGACGAACATTCACCTGAACCGAAACTTTTTTTTGTTGAATCTGTCCATCATTTTCCGAGTGAGGTGAGTTGTTCCCCTTTTGTTTGGGGGGGGGGGCGAAAAAGAAACATCGTGTGGCCGGGCGAAATGGGATCGATACTTGGAATCCTTCGTCAGTTCCTGGTCACTAAAATATACAGCAAAGGATTCCAAGGCAAACGCATGCCGAAACAATGAACCGCCACCTGCCTTTGGGGTATTCTCTTCCTGCCCCAGTTAAAGGAAGAACAACACATCTGTAAAAGTACGTGCAATGATTTGATGGCAAAAAAACTCCATGGTGAGGGTGCAATCTTAGATAAGAAGGATAAGAAGGCTACAATCATCTACAACCCCTGACACGCCATGTATGGCATATACATTGACTGCCTCAACCCCCCCAATGTACAGCAGGTATATATACATGGAGTGCAGGGAATCCCAAAGGGCCCACGACTTCAGAATCCCAACTGCACCCAATGACACGCAAAACAAACGAACAGACGGCACGAGTCTGTGAAGCGAAACATGCGCAGGCCACAGGAATCCATGCGGATCGGCGTTCGGAAGCAGGGAGGTGGCCCTCACCGCCCTGGTTGGGCCCTGGTGGGTTGATTTGCCAGGTAAATCGCAAGTAGCAAAGGTGGGAGACCCCCAGGTCGAGCATCGGTTACCGCCCGAGCATCGATTTTGTGGGTTGCCACTCCCATTGCCACTGCTGCGCTGTCTTCACTGCCTCGCGATTGCGTTCAGGTCCATGCCAACATGTTGAGGTACAAGAGTGCAAAAGGACGTTTTAACACAAATAACGGCCACGGCCAGCTTCTTTATCTTCTTTCATCTTCTTTTCCCAAAACACTCACCCTGGAACTTGTCGGCGATGGGATCGTCCACCGCCTGATGTCTCCAGCTTCACTCGGACACCTGGCAGACGCAGACGCCGCGATCCATCCACCGCGATTCGCACATGTCATTAAGAACCTCGTTTTTTTAGAAGGGCATCACCGATGTTCGGGGCTCTCAGGGTTTTAAACATATTTAAACCCGCAAAACATGAATTCTTTCGATTTGAGGGTCCGGATTCTTAGGGCGATGCTGAGTTTCCCAAACCTACATGTGGGAAGATCAGAATCTGCAGATTCTGTGTTTTTGTTCCTTTCTTCGGAACAAAAAGACCTTCTTCCGTCCGTCTTCCAAGTCTTCCGGACGACTTGCTTCCTTCTCTCCTTCTCGGACGGTCGAGGATCGATCGAGACGGAGGAGAGACGAGCGGTCAGACGGTAGGATTCCTCATTGTTATTTGAACATCCCGTAGATCACATGCAAACGAAACATGTTTCATTATGTTTCATTAATGTTTTAAGTTTACTTAATTTTGTGGTCTTGACAGTCACTTGGCGCAATGGGACAGACTAAAGTGCACAGAATTGAGTAATGCAGTAATCCCTATATATACAGAGCACACTCCCTGGTTCAACTTGTTTGCCTTTTGGCATCCCAACTTGGAAAGGTAGTGATGTCACTGAGCCTGTGACAATGAGGCTGCTTTTGTTTTCCTCATGTGCACCACCAAAACCTGAATTGTTCAAGTCTGATTTTGGAGAATCTCTATTATGGTTTCCCCATTGTTTTCTCCATGACCGCAGCCTGATCAGATAGGAATCAAGTTCCCCGCAAATTGCAGCACAACAAAATGCCAAAGGATCTCATTGTTCCACATAAGACAAATCCGAAGGCGCAACATCATGCATCCCGTAAGCAAACAAACAGGATATGACAAACAATTTGGAAGCGGCGGTCCGGTCCAACGTTTTTCGGCCACGAACTGCGGATGAAAGATAGTTCCGGCGATGCCGAACAAATCCGTCTCTAGTATATCTTTGGATGTCGTTTGAGGTGTTCCTTCTCTCCATTACTTCTTGATCAAGTTCCAGGTATCTAGTGTTAGATCTATAGTGTGCAATCATGTAAAATCTAAAACATGTGGTTTCAGAATCTCCCAAGAGTAATGAGACAGACACTGGCACCCTCATTGGACCAGTACACCATATAAACAACTTGAGCCATCCCGCGGAATTCAGTCTGATTTCTGTGTGATTCGCATTCTTCGAATGCCTTTGATGTTCTCTTGGCTTGTAAATCACGGCACGTTCGCTTATTTTTTCTTTTTGATGTTGATTTGCTGATTTTCTTTGGAGAAATCTGTCTGACATCCTTTCAAATTCTCTGACGTTCTGCGCTGTTTTCACACCTCCAGAAGTGTCTCTCGCCCCCGAACAATGGGCCTTCTCGGAAGATGAGGTCCCCAGGCACTTCCTGTGAAACTGGTGGAAGGCTAGCGTTTTCGCCGAGCGAAACCGTCGAGCGTCGCCAGCCAGCGACCTGGTTGGAGTCCTGACCAGGGACCTGAGGGGAACCAGGTCTAGTTGACCGAAGCAACCGGACATGAAGTTCGGTCGCGAACTGAGACGAACCAGGTGTGTGTCTGACGAACCAGGCTCGGGGGCCTGAGACCATGAAGTGAGACAGGTAGGTGACTATGACCCCTATTTGGAGATGACTCATCTCAATGTGGGAGGGGGTTTAATTCATCAACACGTCCATGTTCTGGTGGACTTCGCGTCAGAACCGGAGTGGACTTTCCGGCGTCCGTCACAGCGCTCCTCGCAGCGGGACACCATCGCATCCACAGAGACCGTGGAGGCCCCCAGTAGCAATGCCTCACTCGTGGAGGCGGCGTGGATAACGCGGTGTGGAAGACGCGGCGTGGAGGCGGCGTGGAGGCGTGCAAGCTCAAGCACCCTGTTCAACGACCCTGAGATTTCATGGGTTTGGTGTCCACAGCAAGTTTATCCTGGGAATCTCTTGAGAAATTGGCCTGACTCCATCTCACTTTCCCCTTCTTCACCTTTGGTGCCAACGTTGCAATCCCGGGATCCACTTCATTCCCTGTGCCCCCTCAGGTTCCACCGCTTCGCTTCCGACTCCATCACCGGTACCACGTCAGGCCGGTCGCACGGGTCGTACGCCGCGACCGGGTCTGTCCTCGTTCGATCGTTCCGTGGAGACGCCCCGTTGATTTCCGGGCGTTCCCAGGAGGAGACATCTCGAAAGCCAAGGGGCCGGAGTGCATATGGCTCCTTCAGGAGCTCCATATCTCGGGGGTTGCTCCAAGATGACACCCCTAATACCCCACACATGTTGAATCCTTCGTATCAAAGCATGTGGAAATGAAAACAACAATGAACACAACGGAAATAAGGGGTTCCGCTTATGACCCCGCTCTCATGATCATCTATCTATCTATCTATCTATCTACCTGATACTATCTACCTATATCTACCCATCCATCCATCCATCCATCCATCCATTCACCTATGTATATATAATATATATATATTTTTTTTTTGCACGTCTCTTTTCCTGTGCTTGCAGTCAGCTGAACATGGCTCTCAGATCTTTTGACCCGGGCCGCGAGCAGGTGGAGCGGAGTTTGTGCGTCAGTTCCCAGCTGTTGCCCACCATCTTCGTCTTGGCTTTGCACAGACTGCACGCTGCCATGTTGCCTGTGCGCATCATCTGATGCGTAGGGTGCCCCCTCCATTCATCTGCATCGAGCGGCCCATGATGGCAGTAGGAGCCAAGGAAACGATGAAATTGTTCCTCTCCTGCTCGTGCCAAAATGTAGCACCGGCAAACTTGGCACCTCAGGTAAGCTTTGTCAAGCTTGAAGTGGTGTTGACCTTCCACCGGAGCTTGCTGCATTTCCAAGAGGTCATGGATGACTTCAAATCTCGTCTTTTTGTGCTCTTTGGCCACGATGGCTTGTTTGCAAGGAGCATTGAGACCCTCCTGTATCTCCTTGAGGAGAGATTTGGCATGAAGCCGCTGCCGACAAAGAGTGCATTGGACTCCCGATCTGAAAGCTTGCCATTGGTGTCCATTCCTAGTGGGCTCCTCAAGGTAGTTGGCCAGCAGTTCTCGCTTCTGCTGAATGAGGGGAATCTTGCCCGGACTGTCTTGCTGGTGCTTGGTGTGCAAGAAGTGACTTTTGTCAGTCAGAAGGATCTCCATTCGATTGGTTGCCACAAAGAGGATGTCTCGCGTGTCTTCATCAACCTGACGTTGGAGGTCCAGGATCTCTTCTGGGCGAGCCAAGATGGCTGCCTGGGTGGCTTTGGCTTGCGTGTCTTTCTGGAAGAGCTTCCTGTTGTGGTTGCTGTTCAACTCAGAACCACTCAGGAGCAAGAGTCGGACCTGATCATAGTCTTCCTGCTCCAAGCCTAAACATAGGTCCGGGAAGTGCTCAAAAGCAGCCATCCATGTCCAGAGTTTCCAAGTGGTGTGCTGGAAGACCGGGACTTGCACCTTGTCATTGATGTGGAGTGACAGGTGCTTGAGGGCATAGAAGGAGGCCCTTTGTCTGGATGCTTGCCCGGGGCAGATGCCAGTGATGGAGGCAATCCTTTCCTTGGAGTGGGCGTCATGGATGCAGATGGCAAAGGCGAACCGTCGATGTCGTGGGTCTCGACAGGTAGGAGCAATGGCCACAGAGAAAGCTTGACCAGCGCCGACCGTCAAAGTCTCCAGATTTGCCCAGGGACCTTCTCCATTGAAAGTAGCCATGCCACCATCCGGGATGTAGAAAAGGCTCTGAGTCATGCCTCTGTTCCAAAGCTCCGGTTCTGTGCCTGCTTGAAGTCTTTCATGCCATTGGTCTGGCAGGTCCTTGGCTCTCCCTTTCCAGAAACTACACTGCCACAGCAAGTGAATGAAGGTGAGCTCTTCTCCACAAAGAGGGCATGATCCTTCTTGACCATGAAGAGTGCCCTGGTGCAAGGCCCTGAGCGCTGTGCACTGCTTGTCAGTGCACATCTTTTCCATCGTGCGGCTGACGGTCCAATCTAAGGCCTTTCCAGGTCGTGGCAGCCGGTGTACCTGGTCAACCGGAGAAGACGCTGCCAGCGAAACTCCTCGAGGAGCTTGTGGTGGAGGGACGGCCAATTGTCTTCCAGTTGTATCTCACAGTCTGGAATTCCCCCGTAGCCAGTCCTTTTCCAGTGTTTGCCGGCTGAGATGTCGAAGTCATAATCGAGGAGATAGGCTTGCAGTGCCTGCATTGGCCCAGTGACCACTTGCCAACGGTATTTGGCTTTGAGAAGAAGGTCAAGAGCAGAAGTCCAACTGATCCAGAAAAGGTGTTGAGCACTTTCATCAAAAGCGTGGTAAACCTTCCACACCGTGTGGACATGCTGGAGGATGATCGAGTCCCCAGGGTCCACTTTGTTGGGATTCATGTCAAAGACCACATCAACAGACCCTGACTTCTGTAGCTTCAGGCCTCTGGCTGCCATCACACGGATCTGTTGCCGTCGTTGAGGAGCGAGCCCATTTGCTTGAGAGCCCCATGTCATCACGGGATGAATCGCTCCCCGATGCAGTCGATATCTGACCTGCGGGTTCAACTTGAGTCTGTGCATGATCCCTGCTCGACCACGGCCTTTGAGGAACCGTTTTTTGATCTGCATGACTCTTCTGCGCCTGGAGTTCGTGGCGTCAATGCCGAGGTCCCGAAGAACGTTGAAGTGCTTTGGATCGGTGTCTTGAAGATTCAGGTCCAGTGCTTTTGCCACTTCTTTGCTACTAGAGATGAAGCCGGTCTTGTCGGAGTTGATCTTTAAGCCTGCTGCTTCAACATGTTGCTTAAGAGACCTGAAGGCCAAGACAGCTTCCCTTGCAACATAGGAGGCATCGGTGCCTTTGATGTCGAAGGAGACGTCATCCACCCAAGTTTGTAGTTGGACAGCTGGGTGATCTCGCACCAGGGCCCGTAGCGGCTGGTAGAGGACCAGTTTGGCAATGGCAGGTGCCTGAGGGCAACCTTGCAAGATGCCTTTTTCATAGTGCTTTGGATCACCCGAGATGCCTTCCGCCTGAAGGAGGCGAGGACCCGTGTATAGGTCGAGAGCCAGCTTGAGGTGCAGCGGTGGGTAGTGCAAGTCCAAGGCTGGTTCAATGAGATGATCCAAAGTGACCGTGTCATAGAAGCAAGTGAGGTCTGCTAAACATGAGACGGTGTAGATGCCCTGGTGCTTGCCAATTTCAGCTTTCATCATCCTCCCAACCGCTATGGACAGACAGTCCCGATGAGGTCTGGCTTGGTCCCAAGGCATCTCTTTGTCCAGACCTAGCTGCCAGTGTTGTAGTTCAAACTTGCGGTATCTATTCCACAGCCGGTACAGACATGAGGTCAAAGCAATGGGTCTTTCTATCTTCTCATTCTTTGGGATCAGCACGATGTTGGTGTAGCGGAGCTGTGTGGGTAACTCCGCAGTTTTCTCCATCTCAGTGAGCAGCTGTGCAAGTCTTTCCACCGCAGGAAATGGAAGGTGCCTGAGGAAATCATAAGAGATGCCGTCAGGACCAGCTGCCTTGTTGGGGAGTTTCCTCATCAGCTTCTGGAGGATGACGGTGTCCAAGGGAAGGAAAGTGGCCGCTTGAGCCTGTGCCCTGCGTCGAAGCTCTTGTATCCCTCGGATGTTGGCGGGACCTTCAGTGACGATCCAAAGCTGTCCCCATTGTTGTTCCCTTGCCTCAAGTCGCTGAGTGGGCGGGAGACTTTGAAAAGGTCGTTGCCATGCGTGATCTTTTTGACGTAGGCTCCTGAAAAGTCCCCGAAGACCTTTGTCATGAGCTTTTTTCCAGCCATTCACGAAATTCATGATTCGTGGAACTGAGCAGCTGTTTTTTGTGCTGTTTGAAGCTCTTGCTGGATAATTTGTCTCAGATTCGTGAGATCTCTGGTGGGTTGTGTGACCCACTGCCAAAGCTGATCACTGAAGCCCTCTTGATCAAGATCCGAGGAGGCATGCTGTGGGATCAAGGGAATCATGGCCTGTAGATCTTGTTGAACTTTAGGATGCGGGCCATGTGTGAGGATGTTCAATCTCACGGTCATCTTCTCCCAGAAAGCCGGGCTTCCATTCTTCCAGATCCGTGGTTTGTTGGCATCCAGAAGTGGCCCTTGTTGGAACTTGACCTGGGAGCCCCTGCCTGTGGTGGGCTTGTGAAGGAGCTGTGTGAGGTACTTCTCTGTCCGTGTGGCCCATCTAGCCAGATCCGATCCAAGACCAGTGATGAGTTCACTCAGCATCTGAAAAGGGCCGTTGGATTCTTCAAAGGTGGTCCAGTTCCTCGGCAATTGAGCTGTTCTGGCAATGGGAGGAAATCGCTGCAGCTGTTGAACAGGAAGGGCCGCCCACTCACAGTCGAATTTGAGATCCAATGCGCAATGAGGTTTCCAAGGCACTTCCCAATTGTGATGCAGCTGGAGTGCACTGTAGATGGAAGTGGACGCAAGGATGAAGTCCAAGTGGCTGCCCTGCAAGGTCGTGGCTTCGTCTTTGGCCAGAATTTGAGCTCTGAACTTGCTAGGTATGATGGTGGAAGCCAACTCTTCAGGACTGTTCTGCCAATCCCCTCCAATGATGAAGGGCGAGTGAAGGTGTCCAATGAACTGCAGCATCTGTCCCAAAAGCTCAGCGTTGAGAGGTGATTGGAAACTCTCCCCCCGTCTTAAGATAGACCTGAATGATGAAGAGGTCCCCTCCTTGTCGTTCCATCCGTAGGGCAGTCCATCCATTGCCTTGTTTCGTGCAAGTGTGCACGTGGTGAAGTAGATGCCGGACTGGATGAACAGTGAGGAAACCACCCGTATTGCCTCCTTGACCCGTTGGCTCAGCAGGTACTCCATGACATTTCCACCCTCGGATGGTGAGATACTGCATGACCTCTTCAAGAGCCTTCTTGGCCAGGTGAGTCTCCTGAAAGAGCATGATGGAGTCCCCTTGGTGCCATAGCCAATCTTGCACTTTGCGCCCGAAGGTGGTGACATTGCTGAAGGTGATGCGCAAAGTTTCATAAGAGTGCTTCTGCTTTTTCGGCATGGAGGCTGCCACCTCAATGGAGGTGTCCGGGACGAGTTCATCCTCTTGAATGAGAGTGAGCCAAATTTGAGTGATCTCCCTCCTCTGTTGCTCCGAGATGTGTGGAATGGCCTGTGGGTAAACTCCATCATCGGCTAGCCAGTGAATGTTGTCCACCGAGAGGATACTCTGGTAGTGACCATGATGATGATCGACTCCTTGGTGAAGGACCATGCCAATCACCTTGTAGGTGGCCATGTGGACGTGCTGTCCATCTTCCGAAAAGGGGATATTGATCTTGGTGTCAGTATCAATCTCCCTGTGGTGTTTGGTCCAAATGCCATCCACCAGGGCCGTCCTCTGGATGTGTAAGACCAGTCCCCCGGGAGATCCGTACAAGAACTGCCCACCTCCTTCGTCCGCCCATTGAGAGACCAAAGTGTCCAGGGTGATAGGAGTTTGACCTTCTGGACATAAGAGATTCAAGGGAAACTGTTCACGTTCTTCTAGTTGATCACGATGATTCCGATGAAAGAAACGTCCCCCCAAAGAAGGGAGTCCCAGAGTGGGTCCAAAGGTGATGCACGAAATCAGATGCATCAGCTTGCTCATCTTGAGTGAACTGAGAACATATGGTTTGAAGATCATGAAGACCCGTCAAATCCTGAGGTTCCCCATCCGAGAGGTATTGTCGGACTGCGGTTTGGGTGTGGCCCCAAGCTTGATTTGCATCCTCGGCAAAAGCCCCCGCCCAGCACCAGCACCGCCATGGTGCATTGCCATAACAGAGGTTCTTGTTGTTGCGCAAGATGCTAGTGAGCCCTTGTGAGATCACATAGATGTTTGCCGCATCTGTATCTCCTTCTCCTGGTAGGCTGAGGTGCCTGTGAACTATGTTTTGCATCCTTTTGAGATCGACCAGAAGCTGCTGGCCTTGATGCACAGTGGCATGATCTGCATAGGTGTTGCATGATCGGTTGAGGTCCCTTCTACAAAGTTCAAAAAGTGTCTGTTGCTCATTGGAGAGCAAGGAGTCATCCATTTCCATGTTGAGGACTCTTGCCAAAGCACGAACAGCCGAGGTCCCGTGGTTAGCAGGCTTCTTGGGAAGCTGCTCTGAGGTAGGAGAGCTCGGTGCCTCGGTGTCCACTTGGCCTGTAGTCACTTCTGAGGTGTCGTTTTTGGCACCACCCTTCACCTTGAAGGTGTTGCGCTGCGGTCCATATCCCACCGCGTCAAAAGTGCGGCCCGTTCTTGAGCCTGGGTATTGCAGATTCACAAGAGAGTATTGCATGCCCCTGCAATGTTCTTGTGCAGTCCCCAGTTCATGTCCCGCAGAACATGAAGTGTGTCCCCCCATGTGTGAGCTGCATTTCATGACCATGTCCAAGTGTGTTACCCACACAAAGCTTCTGGAGCCCCGGTGCGTCGGCGTTTTGCCTCTTCATCTGTCCCTTCAACACCTGACTGCGGCCGTTTGAGCATCTGCTGCAACTGCTCTTTTTGCTCTGGCGTGAGGGAGACACCCAAAGTGGTGATGAAGCCAGCTACGGCCTCCGGGACGGTGTCTGTCATTTCGACATCCAAAACATAGCTGCCAGGAGGGTGTTCCTCTTTGACTTTGGTCATGTAGGCTGCACTTGTGGCATTGAGAGATGCCTGTTCCTGCTCAAGCTTTTGTTGGAGTTGTTTCATCTCCTCCAAGAGGTCTTGATAGTGCTTCTTGGTGCTGTCTATCTTTTGCTGCAAGATTTGCTTGCGATGAGAGATGTCCCGGAGGTTTGTGACTTGCTGCTTCAATTGAACAGCCATGTCCTTCTCCGTGGGAGGTTGCGGCTTGGTGATCTTCTCCACCAGTTCTTTAACAGGAGCTGGCAAGTTGGCCAAGTTTTCCTTGAGGACATCTGTGAGGTCCGGCTCAATTTGCTTGGGGTTGGGATTGATGCCAACCTCGATGAGCTTGGACCGGAGGGCTTCATCCAATCCTTCCCACGCTGGAGCTAGGATGTCGGAGGCCACTTTCTGAAGCTTGCCGGACTTGCCCGGTTTGCCCTTGCCTAGCCCTGGTGGTGGTGTAGGAGAGCGTGCTTTGTAGGCATTCCATCGAGTGAGGTGCTTGACCTGCTGTGCTTTGGAGGCAAACCCTTGACTGGGCTTTTTCCATGTGCTGCCGCAGAGCCTGCATGTGAAGCCCGCTTGAATCTTGTCCTCCCAAATCCAATTCTTGCAGGTGCCACTGTGGCAGATCTGGTATGTCCTGCCCCATTGCATGATGTGCTGCCGTCGAGGTAGACAAGGACGTGGAGGAGGAGGACGCGAAGTGCAGTCGTAGAGCCAGTGCCCGCTTGGCTGTCAAGGATGTAGTGGCTCAGCTTGAGCAGTATGTATGATTATGTATGTATATAGACCTGTGCTCTGCCTGGGCTTACCGGTACTTCTTCCCTTGCAGGATGTCGTTCGCGTGGTGTCAAGGCTTCCCTCAACTCCCAAGATCGTTCAGCCGCCGGACGAACCCTTTTGGGATGCCAAAAGCTGGTCGAACGGCCGCGCCCAGCGGACCAATGGCGAAAGCGGACCTTCAAGAGCTCTCCGGAGTTGCTCGCCTAGAAAGAGAGTCGGAAGAGCCATGAAGGTGCCTATATAGAAGCACATGTTGGACCGCCATTTTTGAGGACGACCTACCACCTGAAAATGTGGCCTTAGCCTTTTTTGAGAAATCAACATGTGTCAAATGGGTTCTAGGTGCATCGATGAACATACTTTTCCACAGTTTGTACTTACGCCTTTGTTCTCGAGTAGCACGTGGGAATTTGGGCGAGCAGCAGGGTGGAAACATGTCTCGGACCCCTGACCTTCAGAATGAATGAGCAAACCAACTCAATAGCGATGGCCTCCCACCCAAAAGTTATCAAAAGTCAAGGTTGTACCAACTCATCCCTGCCATCAGCAAAGGATGCAAAACACACTGCCTGAAATCCGACGGTATGGCACTCAAAGTCCACCAACTGCTGTCAAACCTTTTGTAAGAGAAATCAGAAGTCCATCGTTGAACCTCAGGCGTACTGCCTTGGATTTAGGAGGATCAACATGCGGGTTAGAGGCCAGTGTATGGCATTCTCCTTCCCAGTTCAGGACAAAGTAGGACTGCACATAACTGCGCTCCAAAAGATTCCGTCGGTGAGTTGCATCAGATTGCAACATGCTGTAAGTTAGTCCAACTGAGCCCAACTGTCACAGTAGCCATCTTGGAAAACACTACATCAACACGAGGCATGACTCAGTGGCCCATCGGGCCCATCGGGCCTCAGAACAAGCTCTATGAGGCCCATAGACTCAGAAAGAAGAGCCTGAAGGTCTGCCAAGACCGGCGTTCCATAGTTGGCTCGCAGAGTCCTCGCCGTGGCAAGACCGTGGCCAAACACGTCCAACGCGACCAACGCCAATTCTGACGTATCTGACGATGGCATCGATGGTGGAAAAAGAGAGGCTACCCAACAAAAGCAACAATACTTCCAAGAAAAACAGGGGCTGTAAAGAACTTCCAGCCAGTGGTTTTCTTGGTTCTTCGAACATGTGATGCCACTGACTGTGAAGCGTCATCTCGCCCCACATGTCTTCTGTCTTCCCCGGCCTCGAGACATCGTACAAAACACTGGCGCTGGCGCCCTCTGCCAGGCCCACCTCACAATAGACCGAGGGTTGAAATCGAAGAAGCACGGTAACACAATACCGACAATAGACATCGAAACTCTCAATCTGGCTCTGTATATATATATATATGTGTATATATATATATATATATTGTATGAACAACGTATCTATATGATCACAATGTCTTGCTTTGTTCGCCGTTTTTGTGTGCGAGGATTTCAATATTTGCTAAAACATACTGTTCTCAAACACTTATGGCAATTTGGTGCGCCCTGCAAAGGAGCCCGGTTCAGAAAAGTGCCCATCCACCCATCTCACAGTACCAACATGTGCAACAACCGAGTCAAGCCAGCCATTTCCCCTTTATACTATGCCCAAGCCTGTGAGCGTTGGAAGTTGACAGCTTTCGGTCGATTGATCTAACCACTGGTAAATTTGCAGATTCCAGAACTCTAGGTCAATCATGCCCTGACAAAACTCACTTCTCACCCTTCGTCATGAGAGCAATGTATTAGTATTGTTTCTGACGTGTCAACATCAACACCACCCATTATTGACAAGTCCCTCCTCAAAAACAACTGCTTTTGTGTCGCTGAACCATGCGCAAACTCACCGATACTCGTGCTCCAGTTCTTTTTTCATGTCGCCTAATGAAAGAAACCCAGCCTACCAATAAAGCACCGCCCCCTCACCACTGTCCAAAGTTCAAAGAATCTCTTCTTATATATATTATATATATCTGCTAAGTGCGGTGCACCTATCTTCTCAAATGCAAGATTTATATAAAGAACAAAGCGCACAACCAAAAAGCAACAGCTTGAGGTTTCCAAACGGAATATCCGTAGTAACTTGCGTACATTAAAAAACAAAGCGCACACTACAAGAAGAAAACAACACAAGCCTGTCAATGGAATCAGAAGGAAGCTGCATAACATGTTATCGAAGAGCACGGAAAACAACGGGAGACAAAACAAACCAACAGCTATTCTTGTCACAATCCCTGCGCAAAGGGTTCAGGGTCAAAAGCAATGGCCAGGTTTGCTGCACAGCAATTGGCCATAATGGTGTTTCCTTGAAAAGGGTCCATGCCAGCAGGTGCGAGTGAATCGTGACCTGCATGTATAGGCACACGCGCTTGCGCAATGTTCAGACCTTCACCTTGTTTCAACCCCCTGGGCGTGGGACCGGCCGCGGTGTAGGACCGGGCGGCACCGCCGGCGGTACCGCCACCAAGCAGTGTCCGCGCGTCGAGATGCGTCTCCAGCATGGCGAAAGCTCCGACAGAGTTCAACGGTGGCCCTGGAAGTCTCGGACGAGCTGGCCAGCGGAGGTCTGCCTCGAAAGCCGGCATTGCGCAAGAAAGGCCTTTGTGGATGGATCGTCCGCGCAGGTCAAGTGTTACCTGAGGCGGCGTTGATCTTTGGGTGTCCCATCAAAGCCATCCGTGATCCACTTCGGGCAGCCTTGGGCTAGGAATCGCAAAATGCTTGCGTCGTTGATGATATACCCAACCCAAATGTTCAAGACACTCTTTAACTATTTCCTGGCGTCGTAGATGCGTGGACCTCGGGTTGGCATATCATGTCGTGTCCACCTGCCGCTATAGTTCTATAGTTAAGGAGGTTCAGTGAGCCTCCCGTTTTCCAATTCGCCTTTATGAAGTCCTTTGACGTTTTTGGCCATACAAATCTTAAATTCAATGCTGTCCTGGACATTTTTCTGCAAGTAGACCTAGTTGTGGTTAAAAGTCACGACCTCGCACCTGCATGGGCCTCACCCCGCTGTAGCGTCAGGAAGCCACGAACGGCTCTGACTCAGTTGATGCGCTGTATGAGACATGAGAAGCGGAAGCTATGCTCGGCGTACCCGTTTTCAAGGCAAGCAGGTAGACAAAGTTGTCGAAGGGTGCTTGATGCCGTTTCGGCATGACCCGCATATCACCTGTGGTTGGTGTTGGATAGCTCGCAGTTGGCTCCTGGAATGGTGGGAGGAGGTTTAGTTCCATTCAGTTCGGGCCAGAGAACCACTGAGCGATCCCAACTCTTCCAGTCTGGTTACGAACGTAGCAAAGCGAACGTAGGTTGGAGGCCATCGCTGCTAGTAGCACGAAGCGAAACGTAGCAATGCACCTGGCAAGGACTGAACTATCCCTTCAGGTCTCTCCGTGACTCCGTCAGCCCCTGGGGCACGCAGGCCCTGGGGCACACTTCTCTCCTTTTCCGACAGGCTCTTCTCCGACTTGGTGGCCTCGTCTTCCTGGAGAGACGGACACTTTTCGATTCACACCAGCTCGCTTCGATGACGGCATCCAGGATGGACCTGTCGCTAAGGGATTTGCGTGTCGAGCTGCTTGGCATCTTCTCTCGTAAGGCTTTGCGCTTGCTATGCATATAGTGCCTAATATATAACCTATATCGGACTACTGTGGTTTGTTCTTTCGCGCCTAGGAGGGTTTGCTCACGCCAGGATTGGGTTCGGGCTCCAACTCTTCTGCTTTGATTTGTAGTTCGGTGTTGGTCTGGCTCAGAGATGGGGTCGATGAATGAATAAAGTACAGCACCAAGCAAGAGGCGTCGGTGCCAACTTGTCAAAACCCTTTCGCAAAGGGATGCAAAAGGTTCGCTCGAAAGAGAAAAAAGCCGCCGCCGCCATATTTTCCGCATAGCAATGAGCGGCTTTTGCTCAGGGATCCCTAGGATGAGCAGCAATGCCAACAGGTGCAAGTTAGTTGGAATAAATATACTCTCTCATAAATGTACATGATAGCAAAGGAAACTCCAGGCACCCCGACCCGGATGGCGTCTGCTCCGTGGTTGCACAGCATGGAGGCCTCCAGGGTTCAGCGTCGCAGCTCAGGGCCAGGAGCTGTGCCTAACATCATGGTTCCGTGAGCTGTTCTTCTGTCTTCTACTTGTTCTCCTAGCACAGGAATGAAAACAACAAAACATATATATATACAATGATATATAAGTTATAGTGGGTTGAGAGTAGATGGCACAATCCCCCCAAAGGATCCCAAAGGTGGTTTATATGGATCCCTATACAAAAGACATCTTGGGGTTTGTGCCATCTACTCTCAATCCACTGTAATATAAATGCCTATGCAAGATGGATGAATGATGTATGGGCTGAAGAAACGCCCACCCAGGATTCATAGTGACGAATGGTGGTTCAATTGCTGGTTCGGGGGCAGAACAAAACTAAGTACTGGTGTTCGATGTCTTTGGTTTTACATATCTTCAATGCTGGAAGTGATGACAGCCAATATGTTTATGGTCCCGCAAAACAAGGGGTAGACAAGGTTGGCGGATCGGGTGTTCATCTATTCTTCGCTCTGGGGAACTAGGACTACACGCCTGAACCTGCATCTGGAAACATGGCGATCCTTCCAGCGTCGTGTCAGTGCGATCCCCGGGGGATGAGATGACCAGCGCGGGTGGCTTGGGGTTCCGGTACTGGAACCGCCACCCACCCGGGAGCGGTGGTCTTCTAGTCACCACGGTCCATGTTTAAGTCTCGCTTCGTTAGGCAACTTGAGGCTGACTTGCCACAATCCCAGACGCGACCAATGGGGACTGCGACCATCAATATGGCCTACATTCGGTGATTTGGGGTGGTTTTCATGTCAGGTCCATGGTTTTCACATGCCCATTTGTCGCGTTCTTTGTGAATGGCAGAAAGCAGCAAGACGGTTCCGATGTTGAAAGGTCTTTCTACACGAAGCATTCGACAAAAGCAGCCCAGACGAAGCACCTGGTAAGTTCGACTTGGTGAGTTCGACTTGGTGAGGTAACGAAGCACGGCTACTACTAGCGTAGCGATGGCCTACTAGATGCTACTAGGTAGCGATGGCCTCCAAAGCTAGAGGCGCGTTCTTAGTTACTAGTTTTCAGAACCTTTCCAAATGATCCTGATCCCAAAGGATCCCAGATCCAATGACTCAAAGTCTTTACGAACGACTCATGAGTATTGAAGCTGAACCAAAGGCCATGGAACCGTGAAGCCGCCCAGATCTCTGCCCGAACCGATGCACTTTGCTCCTAGTAGCATCCTTGCTCCTAGTAGTAAGGCCAGGAGCCCCATTCGTTAGTTTGCTTACCATCCACATAAGGATCTAACCTTACCACGCAGAAAAATAAAGATCAGGACTATCCCAAATTATAAACTATGATAAACCATTTGGCTGCGGCCAAAAGACAAGGCCTCTTACCACTGCGTTGCATGAGTCTGTCTATACCAGCACTCGCAACCTTGGAACATTGATTAGCTTGACCAAGCCAACACCTCAAATCTCTACAGTGGGCAAGCTAATCATCGACAGTTGACATGATCCTTGTCCTTGGTCACAGGAAAGCCACGCATCCCCACTACGGCAGCGAGCCCCGTTCGTAGCGTCCTCGTTCCTAGGAGCGAAAATGGTCCGCCTGGCGCACGGAATTCACGGGACCCGCCACCACGTCCAGACCCGGAAAGGCCTCCTGTCATGCGGCCGAGGCGACCAGGACCTCCCCCCAAAAACCACGATACAAAGTGGGGGGTTGAAGAATCCGTGTCTAAAGAAATAGGTTTTGATCTATCCAATCATCCAAACCAATGGATGTTTGTTTGCAATCTGCTTTTCACTCCTACTACTAGGAGCTGATGAGCTACTACTAGGAGCCGAACAAAAACAGGTGTTCATGGTGGTATGTGGAGTTCCTGATTCAGCTGATCTGCACGTCAGTTCGACCGTCAGGAAAATCCACCGTCTGTTCCACCGGTTCCACGCTGCGCTTTTTTTGGCTGGAACCCACCCCTATAGGACCTGTGGGCTCGGCGGTGATGCAGTCTCGGGGCTCTGGACAATTATGGCAATTCCTAATGGTTTGCATGATCAATCATTCTTGATCAATATGTTCATATATGATTGTCAATCATTATTGACAAATTGTTTATTGTAATATATTACAATTAGTTGAAGGTCCACTGTATGCCACTCATTTGGATGTGCAGCTCAGTCCGGAGACCGAACCGCCGGCATGAACCGACAAATCGACCAGTCTACCCAGCCAGGGCCAGGGAACGACACCCATTGGTGCATACACACCCATTGGGACTCCGTCTTCATGCTGCGACGCGAGCCGGCTCCTTGGTCCTCTTGAGGAAGGAGATCTGAGGACAGATGAAGGACCAAGCGAGGAAAGTGATCATTTTGACCAAGCGAGGTAGGTGTCGGCTCAAGCGGCCTTTTCAGTTAAAAGGTCTAACAACAAGTTTCTCTAGTGTTGTATCTCTAGTGTCTTCGTATTATCTCATCAAGTCTGAGAACAAGAACACTCACAATCAAGCTTCCAGGAACAGGAACACCAACTGTAGTGTGAGATATTTACCAAGCCCAAACACGAAAACGCAGAAACCCACTCGAGTCTCATGTGACCAAACGCTCACCAAGCGACCACAGGATGCGCTGGCCCAGGGCTATTGAATGATAAGATTTGCTAATTCACGGCATTGTCCAAGTATGCTCCAAGCCACCTTTGCTTTTTTCTTGCTCTCCTATTCTTGAGTTCCGGCCCGCAAACAAGGCTAAGATGGGAAGCCTGTTGCGCGCGGAGACATGGCCCATCATGGCCCGTGGACCATGAGCCATGGACATGGCCAGTTACAAAACACTCCAAGCTGACAACCCACTCCAAGTCAAGCTGGTCCCCAAATAGATAGAGGTTCGTAGATATACCACGTAGAAAATGTCTTGGATACCAAGCCACGGTCATCTATTCGAGGATCACGATATTCAACTTCAAACAAACAACATTGAACGACCCATGACCACCACAGAATGACCCTCACAGAAGCGCCGCCGGTCTCGGCGGCTTTGTTCGCTTCCAACATTTCACATCTCTCCGGTCTCTCCGGGTCTCCGTGGTCTCCGGGTGCCCCAGCAACGTAGTGGTCAACACCTTCATCGGTCTCCAAAGACAGCAAATCGGCGCCAGCCCCGACCAAGGCCTTGCGGATCGGAGTGAGCGAAATGGCGCCACGGGTGACCCGAGGCAGGTCTGAGACTCCCAAACGAAACTGTGTGGTCTTTGCTTTAGGTGTAGATATATGTCGCCAGTTGTATAACTATATATGGAGAGAGATGCTTTAGTTCGCCGTAAGCACGTCCTTGCCAGTTGCCAGCAACAGGCCCCAAGCCTTTACTGATCAACGTCACCTGTGGGATTCCTCTTCCACCAGGTCTGTTTGCTGCTCCACCCATGCTGCGCCCCCCCCCTGCGCGGCGGAGCGCAGCGCCGCTGGCCTGCACCCGGTCCCAGGCATTCGGCTCATTAGGGCTGACCGCCGCGGCCACCATCAGTTGCCTAGGAGAAGGCCCAGCCAAGCGCGTGGCTGGGGAGGGTGGGTGGGAGCGCGTGGCTCCGCGTGGCTCCGCGTGGCTCCGCGTGGCGCGGCGGGGACGTCGGAAGAACCGATGACGTACTTGGGAGATCTTAGGAGCGGCAGTTGTAGCACTGTGGACCATGTTCACTCAGGGTCCATACCTCCACAAGCAAACGGTCACTTGTCCGACCACTATTTTGGCAAGCTCTGCCAAGCAGCGAAGTGGCATTTCTGAAAGGACACCACAAAAACCATGTGACAACGGCTGAATTTTCTTTTGCCACACAGAATGAATTCAAGTAACTAAGTGCATTACTACGAATTAGTAGCAACAAGCTACTACTAGTAGCAAGGTGCCTCGCTACGAACGTAACAAGAAGCAAAGACACCGTCTCGGTGCGTCCAGGTGCAGAACCGCACATTACCGACCCTTCAGGAGCGAAGATGTGCCACTTGTGGCTGAGGGGTTGGCCGGGGGGGTTGGCCGGGTGGCCTGGAGTTCAGTTTTTGTAGACTGTAGCATATTGTAGAGTGGTGATGTTCCTATAGCCAAGGCCTGTCTTTTGCAGGCCTGTGCTTTCCCAGGTTTTTTCTGATCTTTTTGCCGACGATGAACCCATTCTCTTGACCGTCCATCCGCGGACGATCAGTTCTCTGTTACCCACATGGAAGATCATGACCCTGCACATCCCTGCACCGTTCAAAAAACGCCCAACTCGTGACTCGCCGACTCGGATGTCCGGCGAAGCGACCGACATCGGTAGGTAGGTCTTCCGATGTCCGGACATCGACGAAGACCGACGAAACGAAAGGAAAGGGGCCCGTCCCAGTTGACCTCACGACTTGGCTGGATGAGAAGACACGTTGGGCTCGACCGCTTCGTAGACGTTTTGGTTGAGGCATATGCAGCTTATTGCATTGAGCATTCAATGCATAACATGCCAGTTCTTTCAACCTTGAGCACTTTTTGCTTATGCGGGTTTGTCATTTGACATATAAACAGGTCAACAAGCAAATTTGAGATGGTAATTACACCAGAAATCCCCACTCATTGCTCAAAAAATACATGCAAACGTATGCAAATATAATATATAGATACACCAACCAATTGCCATACCCTAAAGATCTTCCGCCCACCCAGGGCGCCTATTAGCATCTCTGGAGGCGTGTGGATGTCGCTTCACCTGCTTCATGTCCCCTCGACCTCAGGAGCTGACGAGAAAAATGGTCCGTTCGTTTCTCCTGACAGTCAGAATTGGTGAAAGCTTCAAAGGTGGGAACATGTAGGAAGATCTTATAACCAACCACCAGTTCGCAGTTTCTCGCAGTTGGCACATGCGGAGATCACCGACTTCGAAGTACATCGCTTCACCGGATCTGACATCGGATGCCTGACCAAGACCAGGAGCTGTACCAAGACTCCTTGACTTGGGAAAGGAGAATTAACATGTTTAAAACGTGTTTTTTTTTCCGTCAAACTGTTGTCCCTCTCCTTCAGCAGTCACACTGAATAGCCAGTCTTAAGAGACACTCACCTGAAAAGACGTTCCACTGGGTACCCAATTACAAGTCTATTCTGTGTAGCAAGTCTTCACACAGCAAACCCAACAAAAACATACACACACACACACACCTTTTTGCCTTTGCTTTTGGTTGCCCACAGGGACACAAACATCAGAAACAACACAACATAAAACCGCCCCCCAAACACATTGCTGCTCTCTTGGCGCAGGGCAAATGAGAGCCACCAGCTCCTGGTCCTTATTCAGCACCGGCAGCTTTGAGACCTGGCAAAAGCGAGGGAGTCCTACCACCGGTAGCCGGATGTGGGAAATTAGAGGTCGGCCGGTTATGTAGCATTGATCAATTGGACATCTGTAGATATCTTTGGACATGAGTAGATATACTATATTGTTGTAGGGGTGCTGCAAACAAATATAGTGATAGTGCCAATGGGTGCTAGCTGAACAATTGCCGATATATATATATATACATGTATAATCTAATCATGTTTATATGACATATTATATGACATATTTTGTCAACATAGTAATCTGTCGAACCTTGAGCCCCGGATTGCGGCTGCATGGCGTTCTCTCCAGCGTCAGATCCTCACTGTCAAACGTTGGTCATCATACTTTTCAACATCCTCTGGTAAGAGATGCGTGGAGGTTTTGCCAGAAATGGTCATCAAAAGATCTGATGCGATGAGCATCTCTTGACCATGTCACACCACTGTACATGTTACTTAACGTGAACAACGAACTGAACAAAAGCACTTCTACAAACAATCGGTACAGAACCACTTTGGTCGTTGTGGACACTTAGCAGGTGCCTTGTCGATTCCCCTTGGTGAATCATTACTTGGCTTCTCCATGAAATTGGTGAAAGGACTTCAAACGCATCGTTTTTTTGAGGGGATCTCCTGATCTCCCCACTTCTTTTGGCCTAGAATCTCTGGCCGCAAACATGTCATCTTCGGATTCGTCTTCGCGACGTCAGCTTGCATGCTGCGTTTCGTCTCGTGCCTTCGCTTGCTGCATGGCCACATGCGCCTCTTTGAGCGTCACAGGCTCCTCGGCAAAGACCTGGGCTCGCTCAAAGGTCGGCCGAGACGGTGTGAAAAAACCCACACGTGTCCAAGCGTGACCGACACGTGTCATGACCCAAAAGGTCCCTCTCAATTGGTCGATGTATGTCAATTGATCGATGTATCGATATCACTATATTTGTATATTACAATTATAATCAATTACATGTATATACACAAGCATCCTGGAGTAGACAGAATATGAACCAATCAAACAACACGACCACTTTCCTGTTGGTTTGTGAATGTCCATATTCTATCTACTCCAGGATGACATAGGATGACCCTAGGACTTTGGGACATGTTCTACGTTCAACATCGCAGGGGTGGTGGTGCAAGATTGCCGACTTAGGTTTCATACCAAGTAGTAGAATCTCATACCAAGTAGTAGAAACCAAAGAAATCATCGTAGCTTCTTCCTTTCGTGACTTTTTGAGATGACCAGTTGTGACCCGCCTAAGAGGGCCATCGTTCGTGACCTCGAGCCCAGATTTCCGAGAGTCACAACCGGGGCAGAACCAGGGTCGATCCGGGCCGGACCTTCACAATGGTCGGAAGGATCTTAGGAGGTGCGGAGGTCCAGGGGATGAAGCAATATGTGGATGAAGACCATGTGTGGAAGTGACTCTCTGCGCCAGCTGAGGATCTTCGTGAGTGATCTGGCTGTGTATGCTGCCAGGGAGATGAAGATTGTGCCCGTTTCTTCCTTACTGCCGTAGGGCTCAATGGGGAGCTCAAGATGATGGGATCCCCGAAACAGAGGTTCCGACTGAATGAACAGAGGTTCCGTCTGGATTTCTTTGAATAGGATTCATATAGGATGGTTTCTCTTGGAGATCCATGTTGAACATGACAAAACATTCAAGAACATTTATATAGGCCATCCCACCATTTCGATACATGCATATCTCAGCACATCCATCGTTCTTGCTGCTAGTTCAAGACTCTGGTGGGAGTCCCAGCGAGATTTGGTCCAGACATGTCCAGACATCAAATTTGGTCCTCTTCCCCCAACCCTCAGAAACCATTCGACATCATTCGACTGAAGAACGAGGGTCCATGTTCCCATGCTCAGGACGACTGCCTTCTGACGCGACAAGGTTAATAACTAACAAAAAACATGTTTTGAGATGTGTCAGAACTTGCTGTGTGAATCTGTTTCTCAACATACGGATATCATGTAATATACATTCAACACAGCTTCAGCATTGTCAGAATATGTCAGATCTATTTAGTGCTTGGATGAGCTGATGTTGTCGGATGTGTGCTTGGCTCAGAAACTGCGCACCACACACCACCAAGCCATTCCTCTTCATCCATTGGACATATTTCGCAATTATGTCCCGGAGTTTACCTCCTGTCACCGCTGTGCTTCTGGCCACATCTCGGTTCATCAGTGATTGCAATGCTGCAGTCCTGCAGAGGGTGATTGCATCTCAACCGCTTCGAGACAACCGGTGTCCCGGACCCTGCAGCGACATCCAAACCCAACAGCCACTGACTTCGACGAGTCACGGTCCACGGACGATGGGTCCACGGTGGCCGCACGGAGTCAGGGTCGGGCTTTTGAAAGGAGGAAGTGGGTCGTCTCCATGTCTCGTAGTGTGAGGAACACAACTATACTAATCATATACTAACATGGCTTTGTGGGGTAACATGGAGATTGATCCCACTTGATGTCCTGGAGGTTTCATCGGGGTCGATCCCGATCTCCGGTTTCCCTCTGGGTCTCCCCTCAACGGTCCATCCGCTTTGGGGTCGCGACCGGTCCACGCTGGGGAGCAGGTCGGTCCTGGGCATGTCCTCCAAGTCTCGCTTCGTGACCAATCCCATGAGGCGCCCACCCACACGACCTGGAGTCGCGAAGGAACGCAGGAAGAAGGACGACTAGCGAATAAAAAACCCAGTATTCATGGGCTATTTATGAGTTCTTTCTGACCAGTGTGTCTGAAGATTTCTTTGAGAGATGCTTGTTCGTGCAGATGTGAGATTCACACACTAAATGCCACAAAGCAAACTGAAGCCTTCTTGTTCCTCGCCTTCTTCAAAATGATGCGTTCTGAATCTCTGAAGGGAGATCAACCGCTTCCCTGGGAAGACGCATACCCTTCTTCTTTCTTTCTTTTGTAACGGACTAATCGAAAATGACGAAAGCAAGGTTACGCTTTTCCCTCCCTGAAACAACGATCGAAGTGGAGGATGGATGAAGATGGCCCCTTTGCAAGATGCTTTTCCGCTACAAACAGGGCTCAGCGTCCACTTTTTGATGGTTCTTTTCAGAGACGCTGAATTATTGGTAACAGCAAGGGTGAGCACCTGCCAGCACAAGGCAACAAA